TCTCCCAAAGTCGCACAAAACGAAAATATATCTAAAAGGCTATTAACTGAATTATAATTACGGCACATTATATAGATAGGGGAAAATTTAAGTATGTCAGTCCTAGGCCTGGCTAAGTAAAAAGTTAAACTAGTCCGTGACGCTAATCTAGGAATTAAGAAGTTACGTTGTCCTAAGATGACACTGGAGTCAATAATGCCATGGATGACCTTGTGAGTGAACTTAAGTGAATTCTTGTAGCGTCTGCTCTCTAAATTATAGATTTTGTGTCTCACCATCAACTCACTATGAGGAAACCCAATAGCAGGCTATATCCCGTCAGCTTGGTATGAGAGGTATTTTAAAAACTTTCTTTGAACGGACTCTAAGCGGTCAATATATATTTGATGTTGAGGATACCATACCAGGGACGCATACTCAAGCTTAGATCTTACATAAGTATAGTACAGTATTGTCAGTGTAAAGGAGTTGTGGAAATCGCCAGTATTTCTTACAATAAAACCAGCAGCCACAACAGCATTTTCGATGAGATAGGAGAAGGAAAGTTTTCTGTCAAATGTGACTCCCAAGTCATTAATTGTATTAGGTCTATCAAGTTTCCAGTCACCAATACTATATTCATACATCATTACCCCTGTTTTTAAAGTAAACGACAAAACGTGACACTTAGCAACATTCAAAACCAGTCTGTTTTCACGACACCAGTTGTCAGCCCTTACAATGTTGCATTGCAAGCGATGACAATTGTCAATGTTAGAGACTCTACAGAAAAGTTTCATATCGTCAGCATATATAAGAAAATCGACATCGATGACTTCAGGAATATCGTTTAAGAACATAATAAATAACAGGGGTCCCAAATTAGATCCTTGAGGAACACCGGACATTACAGGGTATTCGTTTGACTTATGTCCATTGCACACAACATACTATTTTCTATGAAATAAATAAGATCTGAGAAATAGCAACAATGCATCTGAAAGACCAAATCTAGATAACTTATTTATAACATCCAAAACAACATATCCTATTTACAAAATTTTTTGCGATTAAAATGTTTCCTCGCCAGTAAACGTGGGAAGTAAAAGAAGTTGAGAAGGTAAGTACTTGTAATGGGTGAAATTGCACCTGACTGCATAAATATAAGTTATGTAAATGGTGGGCCATCCATTGATTTCTTTTTTAAATTCGTATTAAAACTACACTCTTCAATAATATGTAATACTTAATTAAAAAAAAAATACACCTTCGGATTACCTATGAAAAACAATTTCAGTTAAATAGCTGCCGCGGCTGGCCTGGCAGCAGTCCATCCTCTTAACCCAACTTTGAAGCGCATTTTCAGTAGTTTGTGGGTCTATTTCATCAATACTGTTTGAGGATTGTTAGTGTAACAGCGGTCCTTAACAGTACCCCATAGGAAGTAATCCATGGGCGTCAAATCATAGCTGCGGGCTGGCCAAAACTGCTGATAACGCGATGACCGAACTTGTGTAAATGATCGATTGTTTCACGGCTGGTGTGGCATGTTGGAACCAGAGATTGTTCAAGTGCATGTCGTCTAATAGCGGCCACAAAAAACTCCTAACATGTCTCTATAGCGTTCCCCGTTCACCGTCACGCTGTTACCATCTTCATCTTGAAAAAAGTATGGATCAATAATCCCACAACTCCAAAAGCCACAACAAACAGTTACTCTTTTTGGATGCATTGGATTTTCAGAACCCCAAATCCTACAGTTCTATTTGTTGACGTTATCTCCCAGATGGAAATGGGCTTCGTCCAAAAAGATGATTTGGCGACCAAAACTGACGTCCGTTTCCAATTGATTTAGAGCCCACTCAGAGAAACGATATCGAAGCGGATGGTCATTTTGTTTTAACTCGTGCACAAGTTGCACCTTGTAAGAAAATACTCCCAGGTCATTATGCAATATATTCCGCACCAAGTTGCGACTGATAGATAGATGGATCTTTATTTCCAACAGGTACAATCACCCAATTACAGGAAATAGTTCAAAAAGAAAACAAGAGCAACACATAATCCTAGTACATAAAAAAAACACAATCAAATTAATAATACACGTAGATCAAAAAGCCAAAATATTAAAAAAAAAAAGAATAACTCGAACCGCAAGAAGGTCATTACATGCCATGGGAAATGGCAAGATAACGTTGTTTAAAGTCATTTCTAGATGAAGTATTCACATCACAAGATTCACCTAAAGAATTGAAGTTCTCACACATAACCGTGACCGGCGATTTTCTCGAGATATTTGTTCGAGCTAATTCGCAGTAAAAATGTCATTTGGTGACGCAAATTGCGCACAGGTACATGAAAGTTAAGCTTACTTAATATATATTCACATATGACATCATTGTGCAAAACATCATAAAGAAAATTTAAACTACTTATAACTCTCCTACTATTTAGCGACATACAGTCAAATGTATTCATGAGTACAGAATAATCACATCCTCTCTCCGGATATTCGCCTGTCCACTTGAAATGCAGAAATTTCAAAAACTTCCTTTGTATTCGCTCAATACGGCTTATATGAACCGAATAGATGGGATACCAAATTAAAGAACAACCTTCCAATTTAGATCGAACGTACGAAGAATAAAGAAGTTTCAAAACATGTAAATTGGAAAATTGTCTACTGTTTCGGATGATGAAGCCCAACATTCGGTTGGCTGATGTTGTGATATTATTTATATGTTCACAAAATGACAAATTGCTATCAAAGAGAACACCGATATCTTTAATTTGATAGCACCTATTCAACTCATTCTCGCTTATTTTGTAGGACCATGTTATTGGTTCTTTCTTTCTGGTGTACGTTAATACGAAGCATTTATCTACATTAACTTCGAAATGATTAGCATTACACCAATCCAAGACAAGGTCAATGTTGCCTTGTAAAATTTGGCAGTCCGAATTTGAGCTTATGTTATGAAAAATTTTGAGGTCATCCGCATAGAGCAACTTTTGGCATATAATCATCATAGCTAGGTCATTTATATATAACAAGAACAATAGAGGTCCTAAATTCGATCCTTGGGGAATCCCAGATGTTGGCGAGAAAATATCAGAGCGGTGCCCTTCATATTCCACAAATTGCACTCGATTAAATAAATACGATTTAAGCAAGCTTAGAAGACGTGCCGAAAAGCCAAATCCTTGTAATTTTTTCATTAAAATGTATAAGTCTACTCGGTCAAATGCCTTCTGTAAATCCATGTAAACTACATCCGTCTGTCCTCTGCTATCAAGGTTTTCACTGATGGATTGAGTAATACATACCAGATTTGACGTACAAGATTTTTTCTCTTGGAAGCCATGCTGTTCTGCTACAATTAGATTTTTAGTGTGAATATAAATCACTTCATAGACAATAATTTCAAATAGCTTTGAAAAGTTGGATACTGCAACGATTGGGCGGTAATTTTTAATTAAAGCTCTATCACCCTTCTTCAGCACCGGGGTAACTTTGGATATCTTCCAGTTGTCTGGAAAGATGCCCGTCTTCAAAATAATGTTGAACAGATGTACTAATGGTCTGAGTAGCGCATGTATGCAATCCTTCACTAAGAAGCTGGGTATTTGATCCGGGCCTATAATCAACTTATTTTTTAACTTTTTCGCCGCTTTAAGAACATCAGCTTCACATATTTGAGGTAAATCTATAAACAAGGAGTTACCATAATCCAGGATTACATTTTCACTAAGGTTTTGATCAGGAGGTGTATAAACTGTCGAAAAATACTGTTTAAACGAGTCAACAATATCTTGGGGTTTTGTTAAGGTAGTTTCATTATATTTCATCATACCAGGTAAACGGGATATTCCTTTTTTACTGTGGATAAAATTCCAAAACTGAGAAGGATCTGATAAAATATTGTTTTCTGCTGCCAAAATAAAATTGCGATATTCGTTGTCAGCTTGAGTTTTTATCGTCCTTCGTAAAGAATCAAATCTTGTACGAGATGCTTCATCTCCATATCTTTTGTAGTTTTTATGTACTCGTTCTTTTTCTTTTATTTTATTTATTGTGTCTACGGAATACCATGGTGGGAACCTACGGGTCGGAATAATTTTTTTGGGTACAGTTCGGTCGAATATTCTATACAAAGTTTGTTGCAACATTTCAGTCGCTGCATTAGGATCCGTGCACTGATAAATATCACTCCAATCAATAGTCGACATTATTTCGTACATAAGGACAAAGTTTGCTTTGCGGAAATTGAAAACAGATTCAGCTTTGTTGGGACTAAAGTTAATGGTTCTGGTAATTCTAGTGCTAATAGTGAATTGTAATGTAGGATGATGTCTGTCTTCATATACAAGTGGTGTATCACTTCTTTCAATTCGACATTCACTATTACTGAAAACGAGGTCTAAGTATCTATTGTTATAATTTGGTATAATGTTATATTGTTGGAATTCAAACATTTCTGCGAAGCTCTTTACTATTATACATTTAGAGTCGTTATCATCATAGCCATACATAGGGATGTTGAAATCACCAGCAATTATGGTCGAGCTGTTATGACTGGAATTGAAAAGAGAAAAATTGTCAAAGAATATTTCAAAGTCCTCAAGCGAAATATCCGGGGGGATGTAAACAGCATATATATATATAGTATGAAACCCTAAATGAAGTTTACCACCAACTAAATCAATCTTAGGACTACCTAACTTAATACCATCCAAATCAAGAGGCTCAAAAAAATAACAATTTTTGACAGCAATGAGTACCCCGCCTCCTTTGGATAAACGGGTATCTGCAAAATTTCTATCCTTCCTAAATACAGTGTATTCAGAAGGAAAAACTTCGGCATTAAAAACTCCTTCATTTAACCATGTCTCAGAAAGAAAAATTATATCAAAATTACAATTCAGGCTTAAATTATTATAAAAAATGGAAGTTTTAGAGTTAAGTCCGTTAACGTTTTGGTAATAGCAGTTTATTTCACTAACATAATTGGGTGTAGAATCTAAAAATTCACTATCTTCGGAACGCCGCCAACATATTTAATCTTCAAATTGGTTTCTCCTTTATTCTTCCTTTCCTCCAGTTCAGATTTGAGAGTCTTATAGAAATTCATTTGACGTGGCGTTTTGTCAGTAGAGATGGAAATATGTTTGAATTCCCTAGAGTTTCTCAACGACGGACATTTTTTTATGAGTTCACTCACCTGTTCGACATTAGCAAGCGTAACTTTTATGGGCCTTCCAATTGTCCTATTTTCATCAAATTTGCCAAGTCGTCTAATGTTTGTAACCGTAATTGAAGGTGTGATGTGGGTCAAGACTTTAACGACTTCAGACTTTTCTAAAACTGCCTTATCGTCTTTTGTCGCTCCATTCTGCTCCTTCAGCCCAAAAATGATTACATTGCATCTTCTATTTTGTCTTTCTGACACTTCTTGTACAATATCTTCAAACTGGCTATCAGACATCTTTGTATCGTTATTTTTTGTTGACAACGCTTTTACCTCATTTTGTAGAGCTACAATAGCTGCTTTCAAGGCATTTATGTCTCCCCCCATCTGCTCACATTTCCCACAGGTCCATGAGACTGATTTTTTTGAGTTTATGAGTCGCGTTTCTGAAGTTGACAGATTGACGCATACATGGTAAAAGCTTTTTCTGCAGACACAACAGGATAACAGTAGATGAGTATCAACTACCTTCGAGCAGCAGCTACACGTTTGCGACATGTTCAAACATTAATTGGTACGCCTCTGTATATGTAATCGAGGTTATGGCATATCACAGCCGAATTAATCAGGACATAATCAATTAGCTAATGATTATGCCGTAGTTTCCTTACCACGTGCCCACGTGTTGTGCTCTGTGACGAGTTTTTGAATTTTTGCGCTTTCACGCTCACTCTGGGCAACAGTAGCAATGTTTTCGGCTCGAACACGTTCATACCTTCTGTTATCCACAAGCAGGCCACGAACCTTTTTCACGAATTTTGATATACCAGTCGCGGACGGAGCTTCATTCCGACCAAATATTCTTCTCAATTTTCGCAAAGTTTCTGCAACACAGCACTCACATTGAAAATTGTTTTTAAATATTTCCCACCTTTGTTCAAGATGAAAACGATCCATTGCTCACAGCGGAAGTTTTTCACAATATATTTATCAATATGTTGAGCATGGAGATGTTACCTATTGTCAAAATAATACCAACTTAAAAAAACAACTGATGGTCAACCCTTGTTTGAATTGACTTTTATTTGTATTATAACTTTTTCACCACATGTACAAATCTATGTCAAGTGGATAATAAAGACTGAATTTTGGGCGATACTAGAAATCTGCGAACTTTAGTATTATGCGTTCTTGACGTTTAGTAGCCTCGCTTCTGCTTCCAACAATAATCAGTGCCAATAAAACTGATACCATAAAATGCTTGCGTTCGCAAAAAATCCCCAGTCCAGTTGCAGTACCTCAGCTAACTGCGCAGATTCAAAGTTAAAACCAGTATGGATTAAGTGAAATAATCACATCATAGCCGATTTTCGCATGCATGAAGCATAATTGTTACATAATCATCGATTCCGTTATCACAATTGGCATCATAATAACCCGGTGATCAGGCAGTCGGCAGCTGTACTTTCCGAACGAGGTTAGTACTCGCTACTCGGTACCCGCGAAGCGCTAATATCTAGGAAATCATGGGCGGTACTACTGATTCAGAAGCGCTATCAGGCCGCATTAGCAATTTCTTACACGCACCATGGCGCAAATTGTTACAGTGGCAGTGTTGACAAAAACGCTGCTTGTCGCACTAGCCTGGTACGCGGAGATCAGAAGTCCTGAAAAACTGGGCACCTAATGGAAGAATCGAATTTGGCATGGTGGCAATCGAAAGTGTAGAAAGCCTATATGCTAGGATACTGCGAATGCTAAGAGGATTTTAAATAAGCTTTGTTGATCCGATTTTTGAACAACCAAAGGCTAGTAGAACTATGAAAAGCCTCCTTGGGTAGATTGTTTCGGGGCTGTCAGTTGGAGAAGAGCCACCGATCAGTCGGACAGCCGCCCTCTGAACACCATCGCGTATGGACAATGTAGTCTGATCTTATCTGGGAGTTGGAGAGGGTGAGGAGGTTGCGTGAAAAAATGTGCTTCTTAGCCCTGCTGTAGGATATAGTCATAATAGAGCTGGAAGGAGCTACAACGCTAGTGATTGCAATCCGCAAAACTTTTTTTTATTAAACTGCTGGATCCCGCATCTTCAAAGCGCGGATCCGCGGATCCCGCAAATTAAAAATTTGGCGCTAAGGCTTTCGGGTAAGTCGCGAGTAGCAACGCTTTCAACTGCAGACACCACAGTTCAATTTCTTTTGAATAAATTGCAACAACACACACTCAACATGTACGGGCCCCTTCCCACTTCAGTTGGCCCAACTATTTAAATCTTAGTTTTTTTCTTATCAAACACAAATAATAAAAATGTAGCAGGATGTTATAGGTTTAAGATATTAACAATGAATATTTTGATAATATATAGTAGAAAACACCAACTTTATCACTCCCTAATCAAATTTGCAGCATAAAAATAACACATGTTGCAATTACATCATATCAACCTATTTTCATTTCAATGCAAAATAAGTCTATATCGCATAGGTGGCTGTGAAAAATAAAAGCTACGACAACTGTTTTTATTAACCACAGCTGTCAGAATACGTTTAAAATAGTTTTGGGTAGTTCAGGTTTTCAAAATGGGTAGAGGAAAGGTTATTAGTGAGAAAATTCGGTTACTGATAATTAAATTTTTTAATTCTGGGAAATCAAACTCAGCAATTGCAACTTTGTTAGACTTACACAGTGTGACAAATATTGTTAGAAGATATAACGTAACTGGTTCAGTTAATATTAAGCCACGATATGTGAAAGAAAGTAATATCACAAATGCCGATCGAAGAGCATTAAGAAGAATAATCGTGAAAAACAGGCGTGCCAATTATTTACATTTAAGTGCTCTGTGGAGTGACGCTGTTTGAAGGAGAATTTCGAGGTCCACAACTCATAGAGAGGCCCACAAACTGGGATTTAGCACATGCAAGGTAAGTTTTCTTATAAAAAAAGTGAAGTAAAAACCCTAAAGTTGCACAACTTGTTTATAAGCCAAAGAAAAGCCACTATTAACTCCACTGCAAAAGAAAAATAGGCTTAGATGGGCTAGAGAACATAGACAATGGACACATCAACAATGGTGTGAAATTTCCAGCATCCATTATGGTATGGGGCAGTATATCATCAAAAGGAATAGGAAAACTTCATTTTATTGATGGAAATGTGGATACAAACAAATATTTGGCAATTTTAGAAGATATATAGATAGATAGATAGATAGATGCTTTATTGTCTTCGTATCATAGAAATGATATAAGACTCGTCAGGCATATCACTATGAGTACATTATTATCTACAAAAATTAAAAATATTGTTATGTATAAATACATAAATTTGTCGGTTAAAAAATGGAAAGAAACACAGTTTAGTCGAGAAGAATCGCTTTTATCAGTAATGGAAGAATGTTTGACATCTGGCCGAGATTTTGTGTTTCAGCAAGATGGTGCAGCGTGCCATACCGCGAAAAAGGCTATAAAATGGATGGAAGAAAATAATGTACCTCTTTTGAAATGGGTTTCTAGCAGTCCAGACCTGTCACCTATTGAAACTTTGTGGCACGAAATTAAAAAGGTTCTACGACAACATCCTGCTCGTACAATCACCGAACTGAGACAAAAGCTTCAAGAAATATGGGATTGTTTTACACCAAATTTTTGCCAAAACTTGGTTAACACTATTACCCAAAGAATTTCAGCCGTAATAAAAAATAAAGGTGAAGTTACCCAATGGTAATCTTTTAATTGTTGCTAATTTGTTCAGATGTTCTATCAGTTATAGGTCTAAGTGATTTCAAATATGTATTTTTTACGACTAGAGTGTATTTAAAACGTTTTTGAGAAAATAAATTGTTTTAGAAGTAAATGGTTTTGTCATGTGTAGTTCATAAAGGCATATTTTGGAACAAATCTTGAAGTGGGCCAACTGAAGTGGGAAGGGGCTCGTATAGGGCTTATTTTTTCAGATGGATCTAAAACGATTTGATCGTACTAAAACTGTTGAGATTCCGAACTTACGTGGCAGTGAAGATGAAAATTTGTCAGATGATGATTTTTACTGAAAAAGAACATTTTCTGAAGTTCTGTTGGAAGATACCAGCTAAGAGGAACAGCTTGATAGAGATTCATAAAAAGGAAATATCCCTTTTGCGGAAATATGTTTGACATCTTTTCTTAGATTACGTTTAAACAAAAACCGAAATTGCTTTCGCCATTTTCATATGGAGTAACTAAATATATCTTGAAAATTGCATTTAGTCTATGTATTTTTGTTTGTATTTTTAACGATTTATAATAAATATGGTTTCAGTCCATTTCTTCGTTTTCATTCAACTCTTGTAATTTGTGCACAAAGGCCAATTCTTTTCGAAAAAGGCTTAGATAATTTAAACGTATTGGTATCTTCTACCGTTTTGAGGTCCATGAGGGGCGAATTTGCTCCCAAGCTGTACAACACTCTTCCTTCAAATATGCGACATATCAATAACTTGGCGCCATTCAAAAAACCGTTAAAGCAATTCACTTTGAACCACCTTGTAGTAATCGTAATGTATAGATGTGTTGCTCCTCATAATTATAAGTGTTTTTATTCTAGTTTGAAATTTAAGCTTTTAACTGCACTCCCTTTTTATGCCGAAACAAGTATTTTATTCTGATTGGCACTACGCTTTATTCGTTCATTTATTTTCGCTTTGTTCTGAATAAAGCCTATCTATTGATCATTAGATTAATCGATTGGAGGAAACCTGTTCAGGAAATAGATTCAATCATGCTCTATTTATTCATCTGAATTGCATTGACAAGCTTCAGCAAGGCAAAACTGTTTACTCTATTATTTCGTGGCTACATGTTTGTGATCTATGTGGTTATTTGTACGAACCTAGACACTATCTATAAAAGCATAACAAAGGACTTTGAAGCATAAGTATGTGGTACAGCTTGAAAATATGTTATTACTCCACAAGATCAAGATTTTTCCGCTTCTTCATCATTATGCCAATCAGATAATCTTAATTATCTCAATTACATTACCTGCAGTTGCCCAGTTTTGTTTTATTTTCAGCTAGAACAATGCTGCTAATCTCCAACTTTGATGTTCTGTATTATAATAATTACTCTTATGTTCTGTATCCTCAGTGTGTCTAACTCCAGAGCCGGACTATTTGGATTCTAAATTTAAGCGCAGTGATGATACGAAGGGTACAGGCAAATAACAGGCAATGTTCGAATGACCTGATTTTGAGAAAAATACAATTGAAAGTTTGAAAGTATATTATTTTTATTGAGATCAAAGTATGCAGTACTGTTTACTTATTACTAATATTTTATATACAGGGTGGCGCATCGAAAACGAAACATACGCATTTACTGGCAGCTCAGTTTTTTTTTTGGAAAAAC